TAACAATGAAATCTAAAATTAGGAACGTGCATGTCTGAAATAGCTACAGTATAAAAACAACCAATTTATTAACATCTGATATAATATCTAAAAATGAACCAAACATGACATTTACTAAAAATTAAAAATTCTATTTGTCACATTTTAAAACTTTAAAAAACGATTATCATTACATTTGTCATTATTTGACACATTTATTCCTTTAATTAACTTGATTGTAAGCAACTTGAAAGTTACTACAAAGTAGATGACATGAAAATGACATGAAAATGAGCGAACAGCTTTTAATTACAATTTATGTTATTCTTAAATAGAAAAATATTGTGATATAGTTTGGAATAAATTAAATTCACCTTTTATTCGTGTTTTGTTTGAAAAGCTTACTAAGGCTCACAAAAAATGTGGTTAATTAGATTGAAAAATATATATCATAATCTCATATATATATCTAGGGTTTATGCCAGTACAACATGATATAACTTATTCAATATTGCCCTTTTCTGGTTGAATATAATACCCATCACCCAAAACCACAACCTCAGTAAGACACAGAGGTGCTTTGGTATCCAGCTTTATTTCCACCCTCCTGCCATGAACGATTCCTTCCATAGGGATATGATACCATCCAACGCTTCCCTTCTTGTACTCTATCGTGTGTATAAGTTGGGAGTCAAGGTATACTTTAGCTTTGTCTATTTTGTTAGCTTGTTCAAGTCGGCTCAGTATATTAATCTCAAATATTCTGTAGCTCTGAGTAAGATCAACATACCACCAAGCTAACGAGCCATCTACAGAGGGGTCTGTTTGAGTGGTATTACCATTAATAAATCTTGGATCTTCAATTCCATTGACAGCTCTGTTGGCTTCTCCGTTATCAGCTACCGATGATTGGTAACAAGATCTTCCCACAGCTATGTCTCGGAGAATAGTGCTTTTCTCACCAGTCCCAAAGACTTCAACTTGGGCCAAGGAGAGAGGTTTACCAGAAGTAAGTAAAACAGATACAGTTGAAGCACTGTAATCATCTGTAAGAAATTCGTAGACTTGCTTGCCTTTTTCATATTGGATTGTTCCTACGACTTTCCTTCCCAAAAGAATGGCAGCATTATTAATCCTATCAGCACACTCTACTCTATTGTATATCTTTACTGATCTTATTTTGTAAAAATCCTCAAGATCACAATGCCACCAAGCCCACGATTTATCTCTCCCAGGATCAGTATGAGTAACCCCTTTACTGAAAGAACATTGGGTCCACATTTGTACAAAATAATCACAGTAAGACTTAGTAAAAAAAGCTACAGAAGAGGCTATCCAAGTTTGAGAATGTGAATCAACTAAAAATATTGTACTAGATTATATAACAGAAGTAGTGACTACTTATTAAATACCTTTCATAAACACCATCTGTGCTACCATCAACAGCTCTGAGTGGATCACCACCCCATCCAGTTGAAGACTGTGTAACCCGAGTTTTTCTATGAGCCAAGTTCATCAAATCTGAAAGAAAAAATTGTGAAAAGAGATATTTTTGAGCTTGTTGCATTTGGACACAAAGGGAAACAAAATATGAGGCTTGAATTTATTATGGATTTTTAAATTAAAACGGAGCTTGTCCTCCCAATAATCAGAGAATGAGATCTTGCATTCAAATAACATAAATTATACTTGAATTTGGTATATATTTTCACCTGGTTCAGTGGTACGATCACTCATAACAACCACCTCACTCAGACTAAGTGGTTCTCCAGTATTCAACTTGATTTCTACTTTCTTGCCATACCTAACTCCTTTTACTGGTATGTGATACCACAACAATCCAGGTTTGTATTCGATTGTATGGATAAGATAAGAATCAATGAACACCTCTGCTTTGTTTATCCTCTTAGAACATTCCAGACGGTTCAATAAGTTGATTTCATGTATTCTAAACCGTTTATCCAACACCACATTCCACCATGCTGACTTCTCCTTCTTATTATCATTATGAGTTGTATGCCCAGAGATATACCTTGGATCTTCAATCCCATCAACAGCCCTGTTTGGATCACCACCATGCAAATGTGAAATTGAAGATTGGAAGCAAGGCTGTTTTTTAGCAACATTATACAGTGGATGAATTTGCATGCTGTTGCCCCAAACTTCCACTTGTGCCAATGAAAGAGGCTTTCCTGTCGTCAATATCACTGTTACACAGTTTGCAGGATAGTTGTCAGCAAAAAACTCATAGAGTTGTTGTCCTTGGTTATAACGAATAGTTCCAATTACTTTTTTCCCTAACAGAATTGAAGCACCATCTATTCTTTCAGAACATTCAACTCTATTGTAAATTCTTACGGAGTTGACCTTATACCAACCATCCAAATCACAACTCCACCATGCCCAACCCTCATCAACTTTCGGATCAGTATGTGTGACACCATTCCTGGTGAAATTATGACATCAAGTTTAGAAAACCTACAAACTTCAGAAGTTCAAATCTGTTCGATACCAATTCTATTTATTCAGCAGGTTTAAAAGTAAATGTGGTACAATAAAATACTATACAGCGGGATTTGGGAGAAAAGTAAAAGCTGCGTTAAATCTGTGTCAGCAGTAAATCAGGGTTTTGATTGTTAAAATTTATATGTTAATTCCTAATTTGGGGGAAGGGGGCCTTGGCAAATCAGAAATTGCTGTAAATTGGGATTGCAGTAAATGAGAATTGCGGTAAATAGGTGATTGCGGTAAATCGGGGGCGGTTAATCTGGGTTTGGATGTACTCGATACTGATTTCATCGAATCATAATATCTCAAAAAGGCTTGTAAAAATGTCCAAAGAGCTCAGGAGAACGAAGTAGAAATGCTCTTTGATAAACTAGCAGGTACTAATAGGTTTGCCCTAATAGTATAGTACAAATCAAGAAAGAAAACTACAAATTCAGTGGAATTTGACTGTTCCAGGTTGGTTAAGGTGACGAAGAAGATAAATTTAGCTTACTTTTTATAGGTCCCATCAGTATTACCATCAACTGCTCGCAAGCAGTCACCACCCCACCCTGTTGAAGACTGGGAGACCTTTGTCTTATGAAGTGTTAGATTTATGAATCCTGAAAAAGAAGTTTATTGTATAATCCTTCAAATTTCATGACACAACCATGCCACAAAATATCTGCATGATTTCGATTGTCTGTTTGAAGTACCATGATTTGTTCTTAATTTACCATTATGATTGCTCATTGAACAGGATGGGGATGTGTCTGGTGAGAACGGGTCTGATATATCTGAAATTGAAGGTTGTTTAGGGCAAAGTACAGCATATTATTGCTTGTTATTATCTTCTAGAAATAAGAGTTCTAGTAGTAAACTTAAATGAAGGAATGAATAGCAGCAAGCAAATGATAGTGGCTGTGATTTTAGTAAGACTCACTCATGTCGTTTAATTTGAACTTGAGGAAATTGATTTCTTGGTCCTTTGCCTCTATGTATTGTCTTGCACTTTGCAGTTCTGACCGAAGAAAGAAAATATATCTCGTTACCACATCAGGGGATAGGTGTCCAATTTCATGGCCCAAGACATTATCAGGGCACGAAGTTACTTCTTCCAAGGTAGAAAGGTAAGTTAATGTTGTCATAACAAAAACTAACTTTATGTAACTATTCCATGTAATCTTAGAAGAAAAACTTGTGAGTTAAAGTAAACATAGGAACATCAAAGATCCATTCGCAGATTTGAATGCATCACAACGTAAACATTATTGTAGGTGATTTAGGGGTCTGGCAAATAGTATTTCCGACCGTAAGCCGAATCTACAGTGGACAATGAAGATCAGGTAAACAGGAAACATAGGGACAAGAAGAAATGTCCATGTCAACGCTCTTTTAACGGTAAAGTTTACCTCATTGACTGTTCTAAGTGTCATCAAGAGTGGCATGTGGACTGCCTGTCTATGAAAGGTATAACGAGGTCAGCTATCAACTCCATGGTAGAATGGCTGTGCCCATACTGCTTCGTGGCACCAGTATCAACACTGAAGAAACAGAGAGACGAATTTTGTTACAGCTGCAGGAACACAAGGGCTTTGCAACAGGCCAACTCAGATTTTGAAGCATCTACAGCTGTTAAGAATCTTGAAACTGTCAGTGCACTTGTGGCATCAGCAAGCTCAGCAGGCTCAGCTCTTGAAAAATTTTTTTTTTTCGAACAGTTCTCTAGGAACCTTGACACTCTCTCCCAGTTCGACGTTCACCTTCAACACCTGCTTCTTAAAGAGAACTCCCTTAATGGCCTAAATAATGAAATAAAGCTCCATGACAAATCATTAGAATCAATAAATACCAACATTGCTGAACTACAGAGGGACCTTAAACTTTTAGCATCTAGACCTTCCCCTGAATCATCCCCATCTACAGACTCATCTGAGCAGTTTCTGAAGAGCATCTCAGAACAACTCATCGCACTTTCTGCAAATGAGCCCACTGTAGCTGCAGGCATTGCTGAACTAAAACAGTCTATAAGTTCTATACAGCCATTGCATAACCCTGGTCCTTGCATTCCTCCCAACCTACCTCCTGCACAGCATCCTCGTCCTCCAGCACCACCTGTCCTTTTGCAGCCACCTCATCATGAGCAGAAACCTGTGGAACTGTTCAAAAACGATTTTATAGATCAGAAGACTGCGGAAGAACTAGTTGACCTATTTGATTTGAGCAGCACAGACTTCAAAATTGAAAACGAACGCTCCTGCCTATCATATGGGGAACGGTACGATTATCCTGGATCTAAGTCGTCCAAGACACCAAAGGCAATACCACCACCCTTGAGAAAACTCATCGACAGAATCAACAGTGAGTTTTGTTCAGGTGACCAACCTCAGGTTAACAGCTGTTTGGTGAATCGGTTTGACGGCACAAGCAGCACCTTGCCTAGACACTCTGATAACGAGCCTTCTATCCACCCGGAATCAAGTATCTTTACAGTCTCTCTTGGTACTGCATGTCATGTTTCTTTCTCTGATGCTAGTACAGGTATTGATGAGCACAAGCAACTATGTGGCCCAGGATCATTATATGTAATGACTCGTCGTAGCCAAGCACTGTTCCACCATCGTATCGATGCAGGCGAGATAACTGGGCTGCGCTACAGTATAACATTGAGATCAGTCAGTTCCCTGAATAGAAACGCTACATGTATCATTGGGGACTCGAACACCACACTGAAATTCGGTTCTGATCCTGCCAAGTCATTCGGCAAATGGCTTCCTGGAAAACGATTCTTTGCCCCAACTGTCGATAGCATTGATCCTTATGTGTCCTGTGGCTATAGAAACTGTGTTATATTGTGTGGGGTTAATGACCTGAAACAAACAGATGTAAAAAGCCAAAACGATATTGATAAAATCTACAACCATCTAGTTTCAAAAATTGCCCAGATTCAATCTATTAATCCGGGTGTGCATGTATATGTTTGTCCAACAATTCCTTCTAAACGTGCTGATTTAAATAGAAAGCTTATATACTTTAACAGTTTGATTCGATGTAGGCTGCTCCCGTCCAATTTTGGTGTCAGTTATGTGGATGGATTTGATGAGTTCTGTGATAGGGATGGTCTCCTTGACCGCTCTCTCTCTCGCGACCTCAACAAATACCAAAAACCGGACTTCCTTCACCTCAACTGGAGGGGACTAGCAAAGTTAGGTCAATTTATTCGTAACACTGTTCTTCTCAGGATTAACGGTGGTATCGACAAAAGGAAGAGGAGGTCCACAAGGGTAGACGATAGATCCTACAGGGATGCGACTGCTGGAAAAGAAACTGGTCCTGTTGTTCCTGCTGCTGCTAGTCAGGGTCACGTGGATGGTTACCAACCATGACTCCCCTCATTAAGGAGGTATGTCCTGTCTGTTCTAAGAACATAGTCATCGGCCAAACAATAGTTGAATGTTTTCACTGTGACTGCATAATGCACCATAAATGCTATCGCAAATCAAATCCAAATAGCCAATCTAATGAGTTTTACTGTACTCGTTGTATCCATTTAGACAAGGTTAAATACAACCCATTTAAACTACTCACTGACAATGACGACGACGACAACAACCTAGACGAATACACAACCAAAATCTCAAATACTTTAAATGATTGTAACTCATACACTGCATCTGACCTTACAAATATTCTCTGCAACCAAGTAAAGAAACAATCATCTATTCTCTTTCAAAATATTGATGGAAATAAATCAAATTTTGACAACCTTGCCATTGAAACCTGTAGGTACAAAACAAAATTCTCCGTAATAGCCCTAGCTGAAACCAACACTGGAAAAGAATTAAGCAATCTATTTCAGCTCGACGGTTATAATAGTTACTATCAGGACACAGCACCTAACAAACAAAAGGGCACTGGAGTAGCCCTTTATGTTGACGATAAATTAAATGCTACTGTAATTGAGAATATATCACAAGTCACAGAACATCTAGAAATACTTGTCTTATCATTAAGTAACGAAGATCAACCTGTTAATGTAGGTGTTTTGTATCGTCCACCAAGTGGCTGTATTTCCCAAGCTCTAGTTGAACTTTCTAACCTTCTTGATCACATGCCGAAGTTTAGTTATCTAGCTGGAGACTTTAATATCGATCTTCATGATAAAGATAACAAAAATGTTCAAAAATATGAAGAAATATTATTCAGTAAAGGATTTTGTCCGTTAATATCTATTGTTACCCACGAAAAACCAGGCTGTAAAGCATCCTGCATAGATAACATTATTACTAACGATATTGAGAATGTGATTACTTCAGGCACCCTAAAAGAACGAATAACTCATCACTCACCTATTTTTAACACATTTAACTGGAATGTTGAAGTCAACTCTGAAAAAACTTCTTTTAAACAATATTACGACTTCTGTCAATCAAATGTTAACGGCTTCCTAGTGGATCTTGAAGATGAGCTTAAAACTAAAACAATCCATAACTTTACTGAATTCCATGACACTTACAAAAACTGCGTCGAAAAATCGTTTAAATTAGAGACCCCGAAAACCCTCTAAGAGAACTTTTTCGGGTTTTAAACCCTTGGGAAAAACTCCCGGCCTTTTGGCCCTAAATTAATAACACCCATAAACTGTAGAAAAATTGGGTTTGAGAAAGAAAAAAGAAAATGTAAAACCCCGGGGAAACTGTTAACCCGGGCCCCCCTTTTCCCCCAGTTGCCTGAATCCCCCTCACAAAAAAACCCGAAGTCCGCAAAATTTATCTACAAAGAATACAAAAAAAAGCCCTAAAAAAAAACCGTAAAACCCTGGGGAAAACAAATCCCTTCTTGGTAAATTTGTGAAAATAGCGGTGATAGTAAAAAGACCTGGGCCCCCTAAAAAATCTTTATAAGAAGGAAAAACCGGCCCCCGGCCCGGGGAAATTTAAAAACCCCGCGTTCACCAAAAGAAAACCGTTAAGATAACAAATAAAAAGGACCCCTGGGAAAAAGGGAATTTCAATAAATATTTTTTTTTCCCTTTGCCCCCCCTGCCCCCCCCAATACCCTTCCCAAAATGATTTGGAAAAATTTAAAACATAAACAGTTTACCTATTTTCCTATGATTTTTCTACCGCTTTCAAACACTTCCAGCATTTACTTTCCTGACTGCACAACAGACGGGTTAGCTTTTTCATATCTGAATTTAAAAGAACGGAAGGAAAAGTGACATCCCGATTCATGTAATTAAGAGCCTTAAAAATTATTTTACCCCCTTTACCCCAAAATTTATGTTAACGAATGTATAAAAGATGGCATATTTCCAGATGCCCTTAAAAAGTTGGAGGATTAGCCCCATTTCCCAAGAAAGATAACCGGGAAAACTCCTTAAAAATTTAATGACCTGTATCAACGCTAGCTGTTTTTGGAAAAATTTTATTTGAAAAGATTATATTCAATAGAAAATAAGCTTCTTTTTTTTCACGGGAACCCCCTTTTTATAAAAACCCCAGTACGGATTCAAAAAAATCATTTTCGCCCAGTTAGGGGCCCCTAAATTACTCAGGGGAACCACGTGGGAATCTTGCCTCAAAAAAAAAACAACCGTTCTTGGAATATTTTTTGGGATCCTTAGTAAAGGGGCCTTTGATACAATACCCAAAATAAAAAGTTCTGCATAAGTTAAAAAAATTGGGGGGGAACCCGTGGAATTGCAAAATAATTTAGCAATTTTTACCGGGTTCGAACAGATCCCCAGTATGTCTGGGTTTTATTAGGGGGGAAAAAATCCAAAAGGAACTTTCCAGTAGTCTTGGGGCCGCGGGGAGCGTTTTTGGGCCCCCTTATTTTTTGTTTTTTATTTTAAAATAAACATCCGTAACTCATCAATTATGGGAAAAAGTTTTCCCCTATTTTGCCCGACGACCAAAACCCATTTTTTATAGAAGACACATGTGCCCAAAAAGGACTATACAAAAAAGGAAAATTAAATTTTCCCCTACCCTTTTTGTAAAAATTTGGGGGAAATAAACTTATTACTTTTTAACATTAAGAAATGTTGTTTTATTCATTTTAAACCCTCACGGGCCCCCAAAGAGGGAAGAAAGAAAATAAACGAGAAATATTTAACTTTAAAAAATTTGTTTTTAAAAAAGGTTCAAGAAGCTAAATTTCTAGGCTTTAAATTATTGCC